TGAGCAAGGAAGACCGGAAGGTTAACATGCTGCGAGATGTGTGTGCGGCTATGATCTTTGGCAGCTCCGGTATATCTCGGCAGGGCCAAACAGACTTGCTGCGCAGCTGCTGTGAGGGAACAGGCACGCTCCTGTGAATACCAGTGAAGGAGCATGTCCTGAAGGTTAGTCCTGGTCGCGGTGGCAAGATGGATGGGAGAACCTCCTTCTTCATCCACTATGACTCCCTCCGGCACTGAGACCCTTGTTTCCCACTGCCCGAATCTAGCATCTGAGAGGTTCCGAAATACCTGCTGCAGAAACTCTGCTGAGTCATGCTGGCCTCCATCAAAGTGCCAGCCCAGAGTGAGTTCCGAGAAGACTCTATGCTCAGGGGTAGTTCTCACGACCTGGCTGATTCGCGAGGCCTCTCGGAACGGTGCCTCTGCAGGATCTGAGAGCCAATGTAGGCATTGCAGACCTGAGTTTGCACTGGCAATGGTTCCGGGTGTTGGCCAGCAGGAGGAATCCTTCCAGCTTGAACACGGGATGGTCTATGCCTGGGTTGTGGGGAGTCGTCTGTGGCTGTGTGGTTGCCTGCGCGGGCTTAGTCCGGACATATTCCCGAGGCTGCTTGCTGAGCTGTTGACGTGCGACCTCCTGCAAGACATGCACCTGCAAAAGTGGAACACATTGCTGAGCATGCCTACCTGGTGCGTCCACTCGGAGCTTGCAATAGCGACAGCTGTCTCCCTTATTAATGGAAGAAGACCTTAAATTGAGTGAGTCTAGGAGGTAGCGACTTTTCCAATCTGGCCATGACTTCGGGATGCTGCTTGTTCAGGTGCTGTTTGGCTTCTTTCTGGCCTACTAAGACCTGGCCTCAGAGTGCACAATGTTCCATTAGGTAATCGTGAAGCTCTGGGTTCGGAGCCGCGCTGTCTGGATTAGTGAGGGCCTCAGATTGGAGTTTCTCGACCAATGCCATCCGAGTCTGTGCCTCAATTGGAAGTTCCTCCTGCTGTCGGAGCAAAAGCTCCACCCTAGGGCAAGCGGACATTTCGACATGCTGTCGAAGATAAAACACTGTCCGAAAGGTTGCACGACAAGCTGTGCATGTTGCCGACCCTGGCAACGAATGCAGAATGGGGTCAAATCTGGGTCCTTTTAGGCTCCGCTGTGACTCAGGATGTGCCTTGTGCATGTGTCGACGCAGTGCTCCAGTGCCAGAGAGACACGCTCCACATTCCCCACAGGTAAGGAGCTTGTCCTCCGCCTGGGAGGATGAAAAATCTATGGAAAGATTTTCCAGTGCTTGACTAACTGCGACAGCTCTCAGCTTATAGTGTGGGAGGAGCTGGGGATCGGAATGTTGCTGTCGTTTTAGGAACTGCACAATTCGCTTTTGCAGCTGCTCCTTCACATGAGGAATCCGTACTCTCCGGAGTAACTCCTGGTTGGATTCCTTCGTTTCCTGGGAGTAACTCCTCAGGACGAATCTGAGTTGATACATCATATGTGAATGGAGCTTTTGCAATCCCTGCTGTGTAACCCCCACCACGTGGAGTGCATACAGAGCTGAGGCCCAGGCCGTTATGGTCCATATTGACAGACGTCGTCTATCGGACAAGACCCGGTGATTCCTAACTGCATGCGCTACTTCCGACATTGCCAATTTACTGGCTGACAGGCGGCGCTTGAGAGTGCGCATTTCGTAGTCATGATAAGAGAGGATTACTCCTAGGTACGGGACCTGGTAGCGCAGCGATATCAGCCTTCCTGATGGGAGTTCAACATACTTGACGCCTTCAACCTGGCGAAAGAGTTTCTTCCTAACGGTCGAGGCTGAGCCCCCTTGCAGCTGAAGCAAAATAGCTGACTTAGACGGGTTGACCTTGAAGCCGAGCTCGACAAGCTGATCCAGAAGAAGATCGCAGTGACTAAGCGCCGTCATGAGTCCCGCCTCTGAGTCATAATGCGACTGAATTAAGCTATCGTCAGCATACATTGTTAGTAGCTTCACTAGTTCTTCCGGGCTGATTTTCCCTGCTAGCTTCGCGAAGAAGCGCGAGATCCTCGTCGCATGCCTGAGTGTGCTCCGACACACTGAAAGCTATGATGACTAATCTCTTACCTTTCCAGGGCATTGTGAGATGAAGATCGCGGTAAGCATGTATGTACCTGGGTTTCTCACTGATCGGAAACAGATGACCACTCAGGCGTTTGCCGTCCACTATCTGAACCGACTCTCCGCAATGCGAATAGTGAGGGAGCAAGCTTGCATCCCTGCTTTATGCCCCTGCGAGTGGCAATCTCGAAGCTCTGATCGCTGGCTGTCATCTTGTACAAGGCCTTGATGTGAAGGTGGCCCACAATCCCACAACCTCAATCAGAAGAGGATCAGCCTGTTCGGCTTCCAGTGCCTCCCGTAGGCGAAGCCTGTCTACTGTGTCAAAGGCTTTACTCATGTCAACGCTCAAGGTGAGGCTGCCTCTGAGTTTGATTCCCTGTTGGCCTTTACCTGCTGCCCTAGTGGTGTTTGCCTGTCTGAATCTGGCCTGATCCACATGTGTAAGGGCTTTGCAGATCGCCTCCTCTGTGCCCCGGCCTGGAACGAAGCCAAACTGAGAAACGCCTGACATAGCTTGCTGAAGGGTCAACTTGAGTCTCTTCCGCACTAAACCAGCTAGAACCTTTCCTTCTGGGGCTATCACCCCAATGGGTCGGAGCGAGGCTGGTTTGTCAGGCTTCTTAGGAGGGCCTAGGGAACGCCAGGCAACTACTGGAGGGCTATCTCGCGGAACTGCCTTACCAAGCTTGATCGTGTCGAGCTGTTCCCTCACTTCGTGCTCTGTGATGTGCAGGCTTCCCTGGACACCTGCGAATGGAAAGTCCTCCCCAGCTCCGACAAGACCCAGTGAATACTCCTCGTGTTGCTTTCTTTCCTCTGTGGCAGTGAGAAATCGACCCTCAGAATCCCTAAGCTGTACCCTTTCCTGTGGCCGCCCTGACCTAAATCGCTTAATGACCTTATAGAGGGAGCGACTCCCGTCCTGCTTGGACTTGTATTCGGACTGCTGCAGTTGTTCATCAATTTCCTGCTGGCGACGTTCCTTCTTAAGCCGCTTGGCGCTTCGAGCCTGTGCGCTTTGTTTAGAAAACGAGCTCCAGCATCGAAACACCATGCGAGCCTGTAGTTCCGGCAGGAACTCAGCCATGACCCTGATTGATAAAGGAAGAGAGCGCAAGGCTGAGCGCTCCTCCCAGATGTTGACGTCAGCTTTCCCTGCGGCATCTCGTCGCTTGGGGAAGTGGGTCAGCAAGGCTGAGTTCATTGCTTGGTGGAGGTTCATCCAGGTTTGGGGCTGGCCCTGTAGAATTGAATCCACTTCCCTGGAAAACGCTTGAATTTTCGGGGAGCGATGCCTGTAGCAGTCTTCCATAGCTTGCTGGTCATAAGGCTTTACGACTTGAGCGGAGTATCTCCGGCTATGTCGGATTGTACCTTGAAGGGGTAAGTGCCTACTACCATCCCTCCAGGTTGCTACAGGAAAGGTCCTCAGTGGCCGGCAAAACCTGGCTGGGCCTTGGGACTGAGAAATCCTGACTAATGAAAAGTCAATCTGTGACACCGAGTTGCCTTGAACGTGGGTTGCGGGTCTGTGAACCCCCCAGGTATTTGTTGCAACTAGCTGGTGCTCTGTCAGCAGAGACTGGAGATCTTTGGAACCTCGATGCCCCAGGCGACAGGCCTGAATCGTGCATGGCCCCACATGCTTGTTGTCAGTTTTGAGCGAGGAGTTGAAATCCCCTAGCACTAAGAGGGTATTACAATTGGGAACCGCTCTGATGGAATTGCTAAGAGCCTGAAGGGTCTGCTTTCGAGTTTGCTTATTCTGGGTGACCGTCTCCTTGGACCGCCACACATACTGGTAGCAGCTGAAGACATCCAGTGAGATGCCATTGCTTGGCACCCGAACCTGGAGAACCCGTCCAGGAACGACCTCATTGTAGCGGAGATCCTGTGACTTACACAGCGTTGAATGCACCATTATCAGGACCCCGGCCCCCTTTTCCCCAGTGGAGCCTGAGCTGATCACGTGCCATCCCGACTTGCTGAACTGCCAAGACCCTCTCCAGTGAGTTTCTTGTATTGCAACCAGTTTAACCTCCTGAAATGCTTTACTTTGCAGAACGGAGAGTAACTCTTCCCAAACTGCAGTTGTAAGAAAACCGGCATTCCACGAGAGATAACTGAGATTCTTGTCCTCAAAGAACTTCGAGGGCTGAATCCGTCTACCTGGACTTGAGGGCTTATATGGTGCTGGAGTAGCTCCAAGCTCTGTTGACGACATCCTCCTTCCCTTATAGACCGCACTACCTTCAAGCAGAGCTTTGCGTGCTGCCCTTTGATAAGAGCGTTTGCCCTTCCCTTTAGGAGCGGGCGGATACTTGGTCGAGACACTAGGCTGTTTCGCTACGCTCATCTTGAGCGCGGCTCCTGTCGGCTGCGCAAGACCGACAACCCTCACCTGTGGGAGCTGATAGAAAGCTGTAAGACTAAATGCTCCCTCCCGGACTTGGGACCGGGACTGCTAAGGCGCTGACAAATGCCATGGCAAGAAAGGAAAAAGGCACTGTGCTAGCCTGACCTTTCCTGAGCCGAGAGGCTTACAACAACAACAACAACAACAGCAAAAAGCAGCAATCCTTAAAGAGGATTCGGGTTAGCGTAGCACCTAGCACGTCGGCAGAGACAATGAACATGGAGCTTTGGGATGCTTATCATTCTGTTTCCGAGTCCAGTGTTGAGGGTTCTTCTTGCGCGCAGATCTTCAGCAATGTCCGGCAATGTAGACGTGCCGGCAGCTCGCAAAGAGTATGATGAGGCTTCGCATCGTTAAAACCAGCTACTGCATGATGTTGTGACACTGTGCAGCTCCACCAGGAGAACTATTTGCTGCTGCAGCCCAATGAAGTCAGGAACCAACCCGAAGCAAATCTCAGTCTTGCAACAGGTCCTGGATTGACCCGAGCGCTCTGGCTAATCGCAAGGCCAAGTCCTGCAGGTGCGGGCATTCACGAGTTGTTGCTGCATCCCGGATCCGCAATACTTTGCGCCTCTGCTCCTCCGTTTGCCACTCGCTGTTTATGTTCTTGGAAGGCCAGTGCCCAAACCTCCTGACATGTGCCCGTTCATGCCGGGAAGTTCGGTTGCCCGAGCGAAGGGTCTTCAAGGCTTCGCTTTGGTGTGCAACGTTCGAGACGACGGCCTCCAAAGCCTTCACTCGATCCTCCAGCTTCATTCTGCCGCCAGGTGGGCGTAGAGCAACTCCAAACGGACGCTTAATTGAAGTTCAACTTTTCGCAAAAAGCACTCGGCAATCTGAGGACCAGAGCAGGGTCTGACACGGGAAACAGTCGCGAAGCATATGTTTGCAGGAGAGGCTTGACTTCGCAAGTAAGCACCTGCTCGAAGATTCTGTCGCAGCCCATAAGCGAGTGGCAAGTTGGGCACGTAGGTAGTGAAAATTACCGCACGCGACTTTGTAACATGAGGTCTGTCCCGCCGCGGGATCTCTTGCTCTAGTGTTGTCGAGTATTCGGCTCCGAGATGATCCAAGTGCTGCGGTGAGTTTTCGCAAGCTGACGAAACTCGGTAACACAGGACTGAGTTGAATGCCAGCCTTGAGCTGCTTGTAAGTGAGTTGGTTGTCGAAGTCTGTGTCCGAATCGTTGAACAACCAAGTGAGAGAGCGGCTCACCTTGCTGAACAGCTGGTCTTAAGCATGTGGATGTTTGAGGCTGAAGGTCAATTCGATCCTCCTTCAGGGCGTCGAGTAAGTCCTTGTCCACCTGGCCGTGAAGTTGCCACAAGTCTGAGATGTCACGAACCGCCGTTCACCACAGATTGCACCTCCCCCAGAAGAGATTTGATCTCTGCCTCCTGGCACAGGCCTACGTGACGTTGTGCTACCATTGTGTTGGCCGCAGCATGGGATGTCAGGTCGTCCAGGCACACATGCTCTGTGCGCATTGCCGCGAGCCAAAGTGTTCCGCGGGATGGCTTTGGAGTTGGTGAGCTGGAGGCCACTTTGCCCCGGAAACCCAACAGCCCGCCTCCTCTGTTGCTCCAGCAAACTTTGGAAGAGTGGTCCTACGATGTGGGTTCGCCGCATCACAGGCTAAAAAGCAGGAAGCACGACAGCGGATGCACATGAACTTGGACGATGGTTTCGGCCTCGCAGCAGACACCAAAGCCGCCATGCTATTGGCAGCTTGATTTTGGCTCGGGGCGGCCACCGGAACTTCGGAAATCTTGTCAGCTGCAGTGGCCTGAGATGCGGGAGCATCGCTTTCTTACGTGGACGCTCATGCTCCCATGTCCCTGAAATGATATAACCATACTTCCCCCACTTTGCACAAACCATCACACAGACATCCAGGCGACATTGGTGACGGAGAAATTCGCAGGACCAATGCTTGGCAGCGTGGGTTGCTTCTTCTTCGCCTCCTCATAACATGGAGCACGTACAACTCTCTGCCTTGCCAGAAACCACGAACTCTTGGGCGGGCAGGAGGAGGTGCCTGGTGAAGGGCCTGAAGCCGATGCTTCACCTGGCTCGGCGGGGCCCAGCCCTCCGCCAACACGGCCCCCGCCCTGCACTTCACACCAGCCTTCAGCGCAGCCAGCCCGCCGAAAACAGGTGCTGCGTGAGCCTCATAGACGTGATGTCAACTTGTGTCGACTTGGTCTACGTGAGATCGGTGTTTCCACTGCCTGTGCTGCACCCGGCACGGGAGAGGGTCCCAGATCATTGTGGGTCCATTCCTACATCCTACCAAACTAAATCAATGTCCACTTCTAGTGAAGTTCGATAAGACTTTGCCAGCCATTTGGCGGCACAGTTTGTCTGCCAAACGCACACAAACTCATGATCACCAGGTGAAGCTAAAGTGATCACCGAAGGTAGCTTACCTCCTCACACACACGTCCACTCATGTCAGCCAGAATTTCCGGCTGCTCAGTTTTTGTCGCAAGTACTGCCGCAAATCCTCAGTGAACCAAACTCAGCAGGGCTCTAAAGAGGTCATGCACCTTGGCATCGAACAAGCCACGGCTGCTTCGCTAAAATGGGCCTAGACGCTGTAGCAGCATCGGATCTTGAAAGTCTAAGCCGGCAGTGAAAGCAGTAGGCATTGATTTTATAATTTTGGAGGTTTACATTTGCAGATCCGACATACCAACAGAGTGGCGGAAGCTTCGAAGCCCCGGCTCGGGGGTGCCTGGAACTGGGTGCGAGACGGGAACTCCGTGCTGGACTCAGAGGGTCCATGCCCCCCGGTTTGGTCGTGGTAGCACGTACACACCCGGCCGGGCAACCCACAAAACCGGAGAGTGCACTTGTGCGCCCACGCTTGTATGCCACCGCCGGGTTAAGCGGCCTGCAGTGTACAGTGACGCGTAGGGTGGACAGTTCGGGAAAGCTGACAATGGGCATCAATGGGCGGAAGAGCGGGGGTGGGGTCCGGTCAGGGTACGGGTGGGGCCTGGGGTCGGGGCAGGGGCAGGCAAGCGTGCCATTCTCGCCAGCACCAGCTAAGGCGGCACCATGTTCAGAAGCCTGCATGTTCATCACCGGTGCTATCAACATCAACCTCTCATCTTTCAGCTCTGAGACCGTTGCCACTTCAGAGGCTTATCGCTTGCCAGAAGGCCCAAACACGCTTTTGGCTGAGGGATTTGGCTTCTGGCCCTGGACACGCTGATTCCTCTAAGAAAAAGAAGGTCGCCGACTTCGAAGGATGACGGTTGCCGGCGCAGCGTTCTCCGGATGCATTTTTGGCAAGCAGACATGTTGGGACCACTGCGAGGGTTGACGCTTTGAAGCTGTCGGAACCTTAATAGCAACACCGCCAACACCTTGTCGGCAAAGCAGAAACACAAAATCCATGAAATTGTGGATACTCCGAACGTTCAACCAATGCGCGGTTCCAAAACTGCAAGACCCACCGGGGATTGCGAAAGAGTTGCTACTTTTGCGGTCGGATGGTGTCGCAATTATTCGTCCGAAAGCTTTCAAGTATTCGGATGCCCGGCGGGCCTTCTGAAAACGCATCCATCGCGCAGAAGCTGTCATTCTGAAAACGAAAGGATTGCAAGCAATACATGACGAGCTTCTTCCGCTGTCCATCACATGAGGTTGCAGCCTTGGAAAGGTGGCTCATTCGTGCAACAACACGACATCAGAACCAGCTGCCAAGCTGCCCAACTGAGTCAGGCCCGCCATGCAACAACCTTCAGGCTTGGCATTGGCATTCGCCCACGCCTCATGATGTCCTCGCTGGATGGTACTCGAACAACCCAACCGTTATGCAACACAGACATGCGACCTTTGACATTCGACACTGGCCTGTATCCTTTCGATGGGCACGAAAGAGGATCAAAGTCACATCGTCCTGAGAGAAACTAGCAAATGAGGTGATGCAGAAGATGACAACATATAAAGCAGCATCAGTAGTAGCAGCAGCAGCAGCAGCAACAGCAGCGGCAGCAACAACAACAACAACCACGATTCTGAAGATAGATCATGATGTACGGCCGGCACTGCGAAATCCAAGCTTGATGTGGACAACAACCACGGTGGTCGTTAAGTACGGGTGCACATCTGCGCATGCACGCACACAGCAGACAGCACACACACACAACCACAACTGTACACAACAACCACAACTTTCAATTGAACGCAGTGCGAAAATGGTTTGCAGTTGGAGGACGTACTGCCTTACAAAGACAACAATCACAACAACAGTTTTGATTGGACGCTGGGCGAGCGGGCTCTGCTCATAGCGGACGAATGGGCCAGTCAACTTCAGTCGCCAAAGGCCCGTGCTGCGCTTCATATCAGACCTGCCGACATCCTCAAAGAAGGAGAGTGAATTGCCTAATTAGGTACAGTGGCGGATTTAATGTAATGAGGCTTGGGTAACTCGAAATACAACTGCGTACTGTACAGTACTGTGGCATCTTTGGGACACTTGCTTCAAGGTGCTATGCAACAGGTCTGCGCACGCCTGTTAAAGATGCAACTGCCGCCGACATTTTCAGGGTGTCAGAAGAACCGTCGCCCACAGTTCCCGTTTAGTGGCGTCCCACACTAGGTTACTCCGACTACCAGCGATTGGCCGTAAGGATGGTCCAAGCATTGAGCCCGTCGGTAACAGGACAGGTGTCGGAGGCACCCGATCGCACGGCTATGTCGCAGCCGGTGGCAGCCCACCCTTTTTGCCGACGAAGTTGCAGTTGCCGAAACAGACCCGCGAAAAGCACAGGCGATCCAGATCCTACTTGTGAGAAAGCGCTCGTAGAGTCGTAGAGGTTCAAAACAACAATGCCAGCAAAACTTCGCAGAGAAAGCCTTCAGCTGTCCTTGGGTGTCTCGTCCAGAAAAAACGAAAAGAAGCAAGAATCCAGGTTTCGTTTCGAAAGCTTCCTTCAAGGCACCCGAGTTCCGAAGATGGCCACTTGCTGTCGAAGGAGGCCCGGCAAGTGGGACTGGCAGTCCACACAGGCACGAGGCCCCGAAGCACTCTCAAATGGCTCAAACAGAATACGTTCCTTACGCTTCACAAAGGCGACCTTGGCAAACCTTTAGAGTTGCGCCCGCAGCCTAGGTGGCACAGCTCAAAGCCTTCGTGAACCATAGCGGCTGTCACAACAACAACGACAACAACAACATTTTTTTATTGGACGCTGAGCGAGCGGGCTCTGCTCATAGCGGGCGAGTTGTATCAGCCCTGGCACCAGTCTGTACAATGAACGAGCATTGGAGAAAAAAGGAGCAGCCAGTCGCAGAGAGATTAATACACCTCAGCCGAGCTGTTACGAAATTAAAACAAAAGAAAAGTTGCGACTGAGAGTACTTGGACTACCAGCTCTAAGGTCTACACTGAATGTGTCCTGTGCAGCTTATGGCACAATCACCATTGAATGCAGAAGCCATCACTCGTCGAGAGACTGCCTCCGTCAGTGTGAGTCATCGCGTCCGATACTCATGAACCTTGTACTGGTGGGCCGTACGGAAGAGCCGGTTCCCCGAGTGCCAGTCTAGTGGCGTCCCACACTTGGGCACTCCCAATAGAAGGCGATGGGCCGTAAGGTGGAGTATTGGCATTCGACCTCAATCAGGAAAGCTCGCGCAGCAGGCTTGCTTCGAGGCCATGCATGGGCGCTGCAGCCCTGGCTGACATTTTTTATCATTGCTGGCGAAAGTGAATGCGTTGCGTCCCGACTGGGAAACCGCTGCATAGTGATGCTGTTCTGTCTGCAACCAGAGGAAGCGGATTTGAGAAGATATAAGAGCATCACTATTGAATGAAAAGGTGGGAAACGACACCCCAGGCCGCACTGAGTGCTGTGTGAATGAGCCTGGGCGGTGCCCTAGCAGAGCCAAGACGGCATCTTGCTCTCGGAGGGAACCCCTCTCATCGGTGCCATCGGTCTTGCTGCCAAGGCCTGTTCTACGAAGAGCGCCGATCTTCATACTGCCTCCTGCGGTGCAGCAGCTTGAGCCTAGAAGAATTTTCGGGAAGTCCTGCCCCCCGTCCTGTAGACGGGTCCGTCCCTCAGGGCCGGTAGGCTCGCTCCGCTCTCATGGAGCGGTGGCCCCCACCGGCAGGGGAACCCTGCTAAACAGGTTAATCGATGTGATGTGGGCCAGCCTCTGCCCCTTGTTGGCTGTCAAGCCGGACAAACAGCAGATAGCTACCCTGTCGGGACTGTCGCACACCGCATGGCCTGAGCCTGGGGGCTGTGAGCTCGCACAGCCGCCTCCAGTGAGGTAGCACAGCATGCAGGGGCGCTCCGGGATTCCTTAAGGTTCCAGTGTTTAACCGGGTGCCCTCCCTTATTCCACCCCCGTAGTCCTAGAGTGGCGACAGGCTTGGCTTGCTTGGCCTGTCCTCTAGCTGAGTTCTGAAAGGAGAAGATGTAATCTATCTGCGAGCCCCTTGCACGTAAGTGTGCCCTCTCCCGCTGCCCCAAGTATTTAACGCTACTAAGCCGGTGGGATTCGACGAACCTTTGAAAGGCCTCATCTTGAACCCATGTGCTGGCGCTTGGTGTGCTGGAGCGACCTGCCAGGTTTTGGCTAGCATGCAGTTGCGCGTTAAAGTCACCTGCTAGCATGAGCGTGTCTCTGGCCGGGATGGCGCGCAGCCCCGAAGCGAGTGAGCCCAGGAATTCAGATCTGTCCTCCTTACTTTGATGAACACTTTTCTGAGAGGACCAGACATGTTGGTAAGCCACCAATACATGGACTCGGGCCCCGTGCCATGAAAATGAGGCCTGGATTAAGCGTCCCTCGCAGGTGTTCTTTCCACCGATCGTCTTCTTGTCTATGGATGGTGAGAAGAGCAGCATAACGCCGTCAGCCCTACTTGTGTCTACCACTGCGTCAGGGGCCGCGGCAGAGACTTCCTGCGGTGCAGGGTCCCGGGACCTCGGCGTTGCCGGGGATTGGCCTTACCTTTCGGTGCCCTGGGAGCTCCTTTCTTGGCCGAGCTGACACATTGCCAGCCCTCGACAGTGAATTCGGCTGTCTCATTCCTGTGTCTCTCCTACAAAGCCAGGATATCGCAAGCAATCAATGCCTTGGTATGAAGCCAGGCTTTGACCTCAGCCCACTGTTGCACGCCTAAATGTCCAACATTCCATGACAATAGTCGTAGAGGTTTGCTGTGCATTCCCCGCAGGGTCGGCGGCATAGGTGTGGGAGGTGAGAGAGATTGGGTAGGATTTCCTGTCGAGAGACCTGGAAGTAAAGGGGGCTCGAGCCGCTTTGCGCGACGCAGTCAGGTGTCAGTGTGCCATGCCGGTACTGTTGACTTGGTTTTGTGTGCGAATTCCCTAATATACCCCATCACATGCTCTGCGCAAGGCTATCTTGCGAATGCTCGTTTGCGCACAGGCCATGCCGCCATCCGCTAGTTTCGAAAACAGGAGATTCCTTACACCTCGCGGACAGGTGAAAACCCTACCGCCTACCTCGTTGCGGTCATATGTGACATTAGCTGCGAAGCCCGTGAATTGGGACCCGGCTGACCACAGAGGCGCTAGGCTGGGGCACAAGCAATATGGCTCAGGCGGTCGGACAACCTTTACACTTCGCGAAAGGAGCCTGTTGCGAGCCTTTAAAGTTTGCACCCCTGGCCTGGTTAGCACAGCTACACGGCCTTCTGTGGTCCGTGGCGGCTACTAACGGCTACAACAACAACAACAGCAACAACAACAACAACAACGACAACAATTTTCTGAGATTGAACGAGGGCGAGCGGACTCCACACGTGGCGGGCAATTACGGCACCAAGCACTGACTAATTGTGAAACTGACCTTGTGATCTACAAGTAGTATGTCTGAGAGTCTAGCATGGCTACCTGGTGTGCTGCTTGCTCCTTGGCTCGATCCACGTTGTGCTGTCTCGTTTAAATCCTCTCAGCGGTGGGCTCAACTGCTTGTCGGGACTCAGATCAGCACGATTGCTGGTTGGTCGTTCGTCAAGAACAGCCACAGATTATTATCAGATTATCGGAGCTGTCCGTAGTGAAACGAACTTACGTCCTGAACTGAACTGAAGTCTGACCTTGCAAAATGAAGCTGCCAGTTCCATTTCTGAACCCCCTTCCCTGCTCTTCCACCCTTCTGCTTCCGACATGCACAAAAGTCAAACAACTCAACCAAGCCGCGCAGTAATGCTCCTCGAAATGACTCCACCTTTCCTTGGCACGCTCGACGACGCTGCTCGTGGCCACCTCCAGCGAATCACCTGCTGCGATGGCACCAAGCACCTGATCAGATAGGCTTTTCACAAGCACATCCGCAACTTCATATGATTTCGCCAAGACTGACCGGATCTACATCAGAACCGTTTCAATCTGCACTGAACAGCTGCTGGCTGCTGGAAGGTCTGAGTGCAGACTGGACTCCAAGTCACTCACTTCATCGGAGCTGAAGCAATCCCAGATGCCATCACTGGCAATCAAAACGTAAGCGTCAGGGTAGTCATTTGTACTCCAGCAAAGAACCTCCGGCTCTGCAATGACTCCGTGATCCTTTACGCAGAGATCACCCAAGGACCTCGTCATGCAAAGGCCTGGAAAGTCTTCCCCCTGAATGAAGAGGCGCTCCTCGACAAATCCATCCTCGTGAACTGTCCGTTGGATTTCAACACCAAAAGTCTCCAACCTCGAGCGTTCCGTCTCCACCGACGGCTTGTGATCTGCGGTTTGCAGGACGGCTCCCTTACCAGGAACCATCAGCACAGCCCTCGAATCTCCCAAATATGCAGTCCAGATCTTCTCATGCCGCGGATGTTGCAGCACGCAGACAGCAGTGCTTCCGCACACTTGCAGCTCCAAATCTTGCTGAATAGACTGTCTGACCAAGTCCATTTGAACCTTCTCGAAAGCATGATACAAGGCTGCTTCAACTCTATCTTGCTTGAGCATTGTGCTGCAAGCCTGCGTGGCTTCCAGCAGATAAGGAAGGGTGCGAGAGGCCCTGGCTGCAGGCCAATGGCCAGCGTCACCATGGCCATCGAAAAGGCAGTAGACGTGCCAGCCCGATGGTAGCACCGAGATGCTGCAACTGTCCTGACCGATGGACCTGTCTCCAAAGCCTTTCACACCCTTCATGTTGACCGCGCCGACACCAAAGCCCTTCAGCCAGGACTTTCCGCTAACGCCCAAGCCCAATCCCCGTCGGGGCCGCACCTGCCAGGCCCTGCGGGTGTAAGGAGCCTCCCTCGACGAGTGATCCGTCGGCAACTCCGAAAAGACGTGCCAACTCCTCCCACTCCACATCCCGTCCTCGGAGGCTTAGAGAATCTCTTCATTGCAACTACACAACGACATCTGTTGTACCAACTACTAGCTAGTGTCCATCGCCGGCTCGGATGTGTCCTCGAGCTTGTACCTGGCCTCACCCTGCATGACCTGTCAACACCAATGCAATTGCAGGAAAACAGAAACTTACGCCGACGGCACGCACCTTCAGAAGTTCATGCATCTTGTGCATTCTTGACAATGCTTCCGGCGGCACGGCTAGCCTGGTAGAAAGGTGACAAGAGATTTGATGCGGACTGGTATGGATGCTGCCAAAACGGACCTGCAGAATCTCTCGGTCTGCGCACATTGCCACCCTGCAGTCGGAGCCGTGTGCTGCTTGGAAAACCTTGGCTGCCATTTGCGAATGCGCGGTGGAATCTACAACAAGACACTTAAATTGCACAACTGACCATAGCCATGGCACGATTTCCGTCGCTCGGATACCGCTTCCTCTGACAGTTCTGGGACAGTCCCAACTGTGGTCATGCGCCTGAAGAGGTGTGAGTCTATCGTCATGGTGTGTGCCTCCGATCTGCTTCAAAAACTCGAGAGCACAAAGGTATTGCATGCCGCGATCTGCACACCTCTTCTGGACGTGAGAATCGGCCATGGCGACCCAATGCTCACGAGCAAAATCGAGTGAAGTATCGGGAGCCGACTGGAATCATTCGGGGGCCTTGCGTTCTGCTTCACACATCTTGGCTGTCGCTAAGACCCGCCTGTCTGGGATTCCCCGAGTGTTGAGGCTTGCGGCTCGTTCCCATACCGCTAGCCGATTGGATTATGGTGAGGTTGTTCGTAGTTGTTCGTCCATCAGCTAGCAGCCTGGCAGCACTTCGGCGGCACTTCAATGCCGGACAAGCTTGATCCGCTGCCGAGTGTAGCTGGCATGACGACTGGCTCATACACTCCAAATCTCACAGCCTAAACAGTCAGCAACCACAAAGCACTCGGGCGCCACGCTTCCTGCGACTTGTTCCTGTGCGCAGCATCGTCCAGATCTTCCAAGCCTGGGACATGTTGCATCCTCCACGTCCACTGCAAGTTTTGCTTCCCTTGCAGGTGAAGTCAGTGTCTCATGTCATTGACTCCCATGCAGAATGTTTGAAACGGGAACCAGCAAACCTAGCTATGGGAAACCAGCCGGGCAAATCGGGGCCGCAAACACGGGGCTTTGCAATTGTCCCGTTGGTTTGTGCACAGCGTAGACAATGACTCATGTTGCGAAAGTTGTCGACTAACAGCTACTTTTGCCGCATAGTTTCTGGCACAAGTTTCCTAATGAGCAGATTCAGCTGATGAGGTCGGTTGTCTCCCATGTTTCCGCAGCTTTTTCCGGTTGGGGGTTACTCTTTCACTTGCTATCTCAAGTTTCCCAATCGGAAACCCGGAGCTTCTCGGAAGAGTCTAAGTGATCATTGGGCGTGCAACAAGTCCCTCGTAGGCTCCAAACGTTCCGAAGCTTCTTAGCTTCTTTGAGCTCCAGGCGAAGATGCCCGCCAGTGTCTTGGCCTACACGGCTGCCTGCCAAGCCTGCCGGGAGCCCCGCAATCCGAACAGCCGAAGCCGAACAGCCTGGGCCTGGATGGCCAGGGCCAGGGTCTGGAGCTTCAGTCTCCTCCTTAGCTCTGTCCGGCTGTGCTGGGGCTGTGCCCACCATGCCGCCCATACCGAGTGAGGCTGAATCGTGCGGCCTCGAAGCTTCGAGATTTCGACGGTGAGAGTCCACCTGAAAAGCCGTTGAGCCCATCACTTCCCGACATGTGCACGCCCCACCCCGCAGGCCTGAGCCACTTCGTGAAGTCAGCTGCTTCTGAATCCGAATCTTGGAGGCGACAGACCCTCCCCGGAATCCTTCAGCGGCTCCGGCCGGCTTGGAATCTTCCGAAGAATCCCTGGCGTCCGCCGCTGATTCTTCTGTTTTTCTCAACAGTCGGGCAGCCAGCACCGCTCGCTTGATGCTAGCTCGACTGGCCGCCATCTTGCCTCTGTGCACCTCGATGCGTCACTTCTAGGATACGCTATGGGGAGCCACTGATCTCGACCTGAAATCCTCTGCTAGTCCCCATTTTCCTGCCTGGTACTGGAGCTGTCGCAGTCAACGACATTGCACTTCTGTCCGGCTAATTGACATGTGAGATGCGTGAGCATGTCCGTACCCACAAACTTGGGACAGGCTATCCACGTGTCTCTTCCAACACAGTCAGTGCACAGAGTCGCTTGCTCGATCATACCAGGCAGCTGAGCCATGACTCTGGCAGAGATGCGGCCAGGCCCACCAACTTCCCACACCATAAGCCGGCTCCTCTGCACAACACGAACCTCTGACAAATCACGGCGTCCGCCTCTGCCCTGCACCAGAACATGCCAGGAGCAGCATCAACAAATGCCCAATGATTTGCGAACCCGAAACACCGATGCGAAGTGTCTGCCTTGGCCTTTTCCGCTTGCTGTGCTGGCGTGTCCTTCTCCTGCTCCTTCAACACACACACACACACAAACACAATCAAACACACTTCTGGTACAAAAATCATACGACTGGCACGGCAGAGCTATCGAGAAGCACTACGACGCCGGGTGCAAGACTGCACCAGGTGAGGGTTGTCAGCAGAAGGAGTAGATTCTGTGAAACAGTTCAAACATGTGACATGAGGGCTTTCAATGCTGGGGTATTCGGTGACCTCTGCCCTCGCCACCACCCTCACCTACCTTTCCTCGTCCCTGCCCACTTTCACTCTCGCCATGCTTCTGGCAGCATCCCCTATGGTTCCGGACCCATCTCTCATGCCTTCCCGTCCGTCCATGTCGCTTCCGTTGCACATCCCAGCAACGACAGAACCGCCCGTCGAAATCCTGACCTGGACATGCTGTCACAGCTGCCATCAAGCAGGGGGCGGTGGCGCATGGTCGTGGCAACTGGCGCAGTACAAAACCGTGTCGGGAGGTGACACAACGCGGCATGAAGATGCGAGCAGGTGATGCCAGAAAAGAGTGTTTGCGATGACTGCAGTGAAGTGCCATCGCAAGGTTTAGACGTTAGGGCTGCGGGACACCACGAAATCACTGTGCCTTGGTGACCCTCCCCCGCTGGTCTTGCAAGGCCTGCCTGTGGCGCCCCGCCAAAATGCTGCTGCCATCTTTCTGAGTTGGGGGGGGGGCTCTTGTGGCAAAAGCAGTGCTTTGGAAACACATGTCAGCTGCCCACGACTAAGCCCTTCCTGCAGGGCCGCCTTGTGGCATTGTCGGCCGACTGCCACTCGGTCACCACAGCACGCCTCTCTCAACCTGCCTAGGTTCGTCATCACCTTTGAGGCTGTCTGACATGCGCAGCATTGACAGCTTCACACAACAATCTCAAGCGAGTGTTTGACTTAGTAGCCTCACTACTAGGCTTACTAGCACTCACTTTTGCAGACTATGACGATCCTCTCGAGGCACCTCCTCCTTTTTGCTGCCACCCTGCATGCATCTCCAAATGAAAACAACAGAGTGCACTGCTGAATTGTTACATCATTTGCCTTCTTCTTCTCTGCTCGTTTCTCGCGGAATGACTGGGCACGGCCTTAAAGCACAGTTCCAAGAGTACGGAAGCCTTCAGACTTAAGCCTTTGACACGCACGACACCAGCAACAACCAGTTCTCTTGGCACCCCGACTCGCATCAAACCTGAATTCGGACTCCACATAGTCCTGGTCATGCTGAACGCACTTGCAGGAGTACGTTCTCCGGGACGCAAAAGCATCGGAGTGGCAAGGCCAGCACCTGTCTGCATGCCGGACATTTGCCGTTCATCTGCTCCATGATGTAGTGGACGCAGAACAAGCAAACCTTTCTGTAAAAAAGGGCGAACATGTAGAAATCTATGCAGAAACACAGGCAACCCCAGCTGGGCCTGGTAATTGCAGGAACAAGGAAAAAAGGAGATATCCGTCTCGTCCATCGGCTGCATGCATAGTGGGCATGTGTCATCCTCCGGGCAAAACAACATCTGCCAGCATGCCACACCCGTTTGCGAATGTTGTTTCTTCAGCTCACGGTGCTTGACACATGAGTTGTGCCAGCAATTTCGCGGCATACATTCGGTGCCAGCATACATTCGGTGAATGTATTAAGTCTGAAGTTTCTGCATGTGCAAGAGCTAACATACCAATCAACTTACACTGCCTACCCATGCAAACACACACACACACAGTCTTACTTGGCTGCTTACAAGTTGCTATACCCATGTGTCCAGTCTCCAAATACTCAACACAAGCGTGTTCGGGCTTCACCGGATTTTTAACGAATGATCATAATCAGTGCCTCCTCATCATCATCGCCCATCACCAAGCACTTCTGCAACTGCAAGTGCTTGGCGGGTGGGCACCTTGGCACCAGGCTGATAGCGTGAGTATGGCGTTTGCGACTGAAATCTTCAACTCCGTCTTGGACAGCAGCCCTTGCAGCAACGGCGGATGGTAGGGACCGGCATTCAGGGTGTTCGTCCGCTGAGCAAAAGAAAGCAACATCAATACTGTGATGGATGCGCGAAAGCAAGCTCCACCGATTCCAAAAACCCGCAGCTCGCGATGGAGAGTCTCACAAAATCATACCACATCAACATACACACTATCTGCAAAATTATGAAAACAACAAGCTCCGGCAGTTGTAGGAAAGAAATCACCTTTCGTTCACCGTTGTTGGATCCAATCAATTCCTGCAATGCCTGTCGTGGGACTGTCAATACGCTTTCGTTTGAATTAAACTGTAAGACCCTGAGCCTTAACGCTTTTCCTGCTTAAGCCAGAGGCGCTGCATAGCCATTCTATACATTCTATGTGCCGTAGCCTAGGCTCTCCAAAGGTGTGGGCGTTCTATGTACAAATCTTAACACCCTGCCTCGAAGTCCTTGTGCTGCAATGCTGCAACGGTCCGCGGTCGGGCAAACCTCCTGCCCTGGCTGTATAGGCTTTGCCTCCACAGCTCCTGGGTTAAACACTCCATGCAACCCACCTTTTGACCTGCCTCCAACTATAGGGTTTGTCAGACCGTCCATATCCTGGCGTTCGTACAGTAACAAGTACTTCGTCCTAGTGAAACAACGCTGGCGCTCTTCCTTCTTCTGAGCTTCTGCCTTTACGTTCGTTGGGTGAAACTTTTCTTTCTGTCTCCCGCCTACACTCCCACTCACTGCTGGTCCTCTTCGTAGGTCTTACGGATATACAGATGACCGTCCTCTCAGGCGAGGGGTCCCTCAGTACAACGTTTCGTACTGTCTGGGGTACCAGGTTCCGGATCTTTGTCGGGTCCTTTCTCGGTTTCCTGGTCATACCTTTCACAGTAGTCTTCATACGATGCTAGGCATTCGCCTTCCATGACACTCTCTCCGACTTCTTCCATTGTCATCATCTTTCCACGGAATTCCATCATTTCCGGATTCTCTTCCTGGATCCTTCCAGAGGTGACTTTTTCTCCGCGCCTAAAGTCTTCCTGACTTATAATGGGCATCCTTCTTCCATCCGTATGCTCGATCTTCGGCGTTCCCATCGCTGGTTTTCCACGCTTCCTCCGAGATCCTTTTCCTAGGTCTCGGCATTGCACTCCGGCATTCCATCCATGATCTACGTCTCCAGATCCTCGTGCTTCTCCAAATTCGTAGTCCATCCTCCACTTGGTCGTCACGTATTCCGATATGCATGGCCCACATGCACACCAAGTATGGTTTGGTTTCTCACGAGTACACTTCCTTTCTCCGCACCAGTAGCAATTCTTCGGACATCCTGAAGTTGACTCTACGGTATACTCCATTACTTCCCATTAATCGCTGTCTTCTTGTCCTCGCGGTTCCATGCGTCTACGTCGGTTTATGGAATACTCTTGCCTTCGATGCAGTCGAGATCTTTACCTTTCCAAAGCTATAAGCCAAATCCAGCATCCGCGTCATTTTCTTCCACAGCGAAATGAGGTAGAGGGCCGACAACAACAACACACATCCGATCCTCTCCACTTCAAACTTGCTGAAGTTTCCTTCCATGTTAACCTGGATACGTTGGCTGCTTCTCCTTCTTCTTTGAGCCAAACTGCGACAGTCGATTTCATCAAATAGAAAACTGATCAAGTTCTTGATCTGACCACTTCCGACATACTCTTTCAGCTTCTTTTCCTGTTTATACTTTTCATACTCTTTCTCTCCTCTATTCTGGCATACGACAACTTCTTGGTGTTCAAGTCTGCTACATTTACACCAGTCTGTACTGTTCCAAGCTTCACAAGATTGTCTCGTACCCAATCTTGCAGCTGACACAGCCTAACGTCCACATGCTTCAGGCGTCCAACTCCTCTTCGTTGACTCCACTGCCGTGCAGACACGGCGGTGGCAGGTGTCGACGTTCGCATGCTGTTTCTGCTCGTCGACTTCGCTACATAGGTTGTTGGAAGGGGGAACACAGTGTTTCGAACTTCGAGTTCAGGGTCCTGAAAACAGTGTTCAAGGCCCTAAACTTCGAGTTCGAACACATAGTTGTCTTCAAACTTCTAGTTCGAACACGAAGTTCAACTTCCAGTTGAACTCCAAGTTGAACATGGTGTTCGAACGTAGGGTTCGAACACCAGTGTTTGAACTTGGGGTTCAAACAGAATGTTTCTTCTCTTTTTCTTTTCTTCGCAAAAAGTCCCATAAAGCGATTTCGTGTGGCTACTCCTTTTTATGTTTGTTAAAAGCGTTTTTTTGGCCAGTGTTCGAACTAGTGTCGAACTCGAGGTTTTGAACTCGGAGTTCAAACATTGGTAAATGTTTCTTCTCTTTTCCTTCGCAAAAAGTCCCCACAAAGCGATTTTGCGTGGCTTCTCTTCTTTGTGTTTGTCAAAGCGTTTATTAAGACCAGTGTTCGAACACCAGTGTTTCGAACTCGAGGTTCGAACACTGGTGTTCGAATCTAGGGTTCGAACACAAGTGTTTGAACCTCGAGTTCGAACACTTGTGTTCAAACCCGAGGTTCCAACACCAGTGACTGGGGTTCGAACACCAGTGCTTGAACTTTAGAGTCCGAACACCAGTGTTTGAACTCTGGGTTCGAATACCAGTGTTTGAACTCGAGGTTCGACACTAGTGTTCGAACTCAGAGTTCGGGAGTTGAACTCCGGGTTCGAACACAGTGTTCAAACTCCGAGTTCCAATATTGGTGTTCGAACGGCTTTTTGCGAAGAAAAGAAAAAGAGAGACTGGAACATGTCCGAGGCTGGTCCCCCCCCCCCGGGGTTTAACCCAGGTTTGAACCTGGGTTTGAACCTGGGTTCCCTCCCTGCGGGGGGGGGGAACAACAACAACAACCCAGGGAACCCAGGTTTGAAACCTGGGTTTAACCTGGGTTTGAACCTGGGTTTGAACCTGGGTTAAACCTGGGTTCGAACCTGGGTTCAACCCCGGGTTTCACCCAGGTTTAAACCCAGGTTATAACCCAGGTTTGAACCCAGGTTTGAAACCCAGGTTCTAACCCAGGTTTGGAACCCGGGTTTCATGAACCCAGGTTTAACCCAGGTTAAAACCCAGGTTCAAACCCAGGTTAAACCCAGGTTCCAAACCCAGGTTTGAAACCTTCTAACCCAGATTGGAACCCGGGTTTAAAACCCAGGTTTAAACCCAGGTTATAACCCAGGTTTGAACCCAGGTTTGAACCCAGGTTTGAAACCCAGGTTCTATCCCGAATTGGTTCCCAAGTTTAAAAGCACCCAGGTTTAATTAACCCAGGTAAAAAGTAAAAACAACCCAACGCAGGTTTGAAACCAGGTTTCAACCAGGTTCTAATCCGGGTTTGGTGCAGCACACCAAGTTCAAACCCAGGTTGAACCCAGGGCAGGCCTAGGATTGGTGTGACACGAAAGTTTTTTTTGGCGTGGGCGGGCCTCAAAGACAGCAGTTGCTGCACTCGGTCCCAGTAAGAACAACAATAAAGCAATAAGAACGCAAAATGAGCAAAAACCTGTACAAAGTGAAACAGAAGCTGCGACGTACTGGTAGCCATGACGTCCTTCGGTGTCGTAGTAGGAGATGATCCCGTTAGCTGCCATGCGGGGGTCAGCCGTCACACACTTTTGGCTTCAACAACCACAGAGGGAGGCAATCATTTGAGCAAAGATGAAGGTAGCGTCCACTGCCGCTCGAACCCAGAGCAGCGCAAGCCAGGGCTCCGCCACAAAATCAAAACAGTGACCAAGGTCACCCTTTTCGAGAGTACACACCGGACCTGGAAAGACTCAAGTGGTGGTGTGTAGCGCCCAGAGCAGGAGTGGCATGGAGGGTGAAGAGATCCTTCATTTTTTTGATCTGGCACCCGCTAATGGTTGCCGGCTCCGTGGACTTGTGGATTTTCCGTGCATGATTGTAACGCAACAAGACCTTGGGGCTGTTCGTTGTTCGACGGAATTCACTGATGTTAGAAGACGTCCATCCATTTTGCCAGTTATCTTGCAGCGATTGACTAATGCAACTTGCACCAGCACAAACGTGAATCTTGATTTTTTCCCCACATCACTGTGGGGTTTTTGTTTTTGGCCTGCACCGCCGCATCACGGCCCCTCTTTCTCCTCGCCCCCCACAGGCGACACATACGACATAACATACACAACAGAACACACCACACACAGCACAACACACACACAACACACGACTCACAACACACAACACAACACACACACAACACACACAACACACACAACACAACACACACAACACAACACACCACACACAGCACAACACACACACACACACACAACACGACACAACACGCACAACAACGCACACGAGAGACACACACGCACACACGGGAAGAGTCACACGGGAAGAGTCTCCCTCGACTGAAATTCTCTCCTCCGAGGGCTCTCGGAGGCTCTTGGAGGGCTCCTGTGGGATCAGGCGCGCGCTAAAGGGGTCCACGCTCTTATGAAGAGTCTCCCGCGACTAAAATCCTCTCCTCTGAGGGCTCTCCAGGGCTCTTGGAGGGCTCTTGTGGGATCAGGCGCGCGCTAAAGGGGTCCACGCTCTTATGAAGAGTCTCCCGCGACTAAAATCCTTTCCTCTGAGGGCTCTCCAGGGCTCTTGGAGGGCTCTTGGAGGGCTCTTGTGGGATCAGGCGCGCGCTAAAGGGGTCCACGCTCTTATGAAGAGTCTCCCGCGACTAAAATCCTCTCCTTTGAGGGCTCTCCAGGGCTCTTGGAAGGCTCTTGGAGGGCTCTTGTGGGATCAGGCGCGCGCTAAAGGGGTCCACGCTCTTATGAAGAGTCTCCCGCGACTAAAATCCTCTTTTCTGAGGGCTCTCCAGGGCTCTTGGAGGGCTCTTGGAGGGCTCTTGTGGGATCAGGCGCGCGCTAAAGGGGTCCACGCTCTTATGAAGAGTCTCCCGCGACTAAAATCCTCTCCTCTGAGGGCTCTCCAGGGCTCTTGGAGGGCTCTTGGAGGGCTCTTGTGGGATCAGGCGCGCGCTATAGGGGTCCACGCTCTTATGAAGAATCTCCCGCGACTAAAATCCTCTCC